CACAATTTCATACTAAATTTAAAAACTATAATTAGTATTTATTCATATATTATATTTTAAAATCAAAGAACTACTAATCAGGATATAATTAAAGAAATAAGAGTTCATGTTGCTTTTAAAATATTTCACCAATTTCTCTAAAGGAAACACTATCTACAGATTTGCATCGAAGCGTTTCTTATGATAGTGATTTTAATCACTGTCAGATATCATCTATACATGTCCCATCTATGCCTCGTCCACACTGTGCCTCGACCCCACTGTGCTACCGTTTTTTTTTAATATATATATTTCAGTTTCATTGTTGAATGACAATATGATCTAAATAAATAAAATCGATCTATTCTATTACATACAAGTGAATTTAATGTAATCATGGGTAAATTGAATCCTTATTTTTAATTGAAAATCTATAGATTATTATGATACAAACAAAATATTTTCTATATTTATCTCCTTTAATTTTTAAAATATATCAATTATATTTTTGCCCATAATTATAATTTATAACAGAATTAATAATTTGTTAATTACTAAAGTTCTAAACTATATATCAAGTAAATTCTGATTGTTAAATTTTAATTGAGAGCTAAAAAATCGATAAACAAGTTTTTCTATAAAAGTTAGTCCGTTTAGTTGCATGTATGTAAATTTTATTTTAATCTGATAGTAAAATGATTCGTTTGAACTTCTGTAACAGTTTTTAACTTATCTTCAGGTGTCCAATAAATCGTCGGGTGTTCATTAGAACCGTGTTACAAATTAGGTTCATCTTATTTTTCCATAAACCTGTATTTATTTTTATTTTATTATTTGTTATAATATTTATACACTTGAACGATAATGATTGATAAATAACGCCACGAGCCAATTAGTTTATATGGTTTTCTATAATTTTTCATGATATAAATTTATTTTTAAATACTACTATACTAAGTGTACATAAACAATTAAAGTATTTTATAACATCGATTGTAAAGTATATACTTAGATATTTACTTTGTGATTTAAAATTTATTTGTTTATAATTTAAAGGTTTGGAAATTGTACTGTAGACACATGCATATCATTAACGCGATGGCGTTGGGCCCCGATATCTTTAAACTCATCCCAAGCTCCATGGACCAACAGACGGTGTTACGAGCTGTACACCAATGGACCATGTCCTAACAATGAACAATTCACAGTCCTTCCAGACAGCAGAAAACCAGGATACAGTCAACGGCAAGCACCTGTGAATTTGTTGAGTAGCATGCCAACTCGATGCGACATGGACAACAATGGCGAAAGTGTAGATGCTGTTCAATTATCCAACACCACAACTGCAGATTATACAGCACAACTATTGATTTCAGCGATTTGACATAAACGCACAAAAAGGAAATGGACATACAGTTAGCCTTAAATGCATAATGTCCGAGCAAACTTGTTTTGCTATAATATTACCCAGCATGGTACATCCTTAGTCATTTATTTATGTTATCAGTTCTATTCTAAGACTACAAGGGACATTATACCAAAATTAAAACTAGCTATAATTAATAAAGTATTTGTTTTTATATCGCATGAGTCGATACACGTGTAATAATTATTAAATGTATTTTTTTTATCTATGTAATTTATTATTAAATTAAATTACATTGCGTGTGATGTATAAGATTTAGTCGATCAAGTCTTTATTGGGAAATGATACTATTGACAGTAAGGCATTCATTATTAATCTGTATCAGTAAATAGCGCAGAATTGACGTATAAAAATATTCTTCTTAATTTAACAAAACTATCAATCATAGATTCATCTATAATTGTTATATTGATTATACAGTCTAACAAAATATTTTAAATTCTATACATAATAGTATTATTAATATTTAGACACATCTCACATTTAATTATGAAATATATTTCAAGCCTGTAATATCCACTTATAAATGAGTTCGCATGTTTTAATGGACTTTGCAAATTTTTTAATCTCATTTCTTCAAGTACCAGCGATAAATATTAATTTGTATTTAATGGGGTTCAAATGAACAATTATTGAAGAGGTGCTATTTAATTTTTAAAATAAAAAATCTCGTTTCCTGAGGATGCTGAGGTTTTTTTGTGAACCGTTTCATGGTCGAATATTAAATTTAGAAAAATTAAATAACTAATATACTGATTTATGATTTAAAAAATAAAAACGAAGAGAATCGATGCTAAAACGTAAAGTGTAATAAATTATAGACGAAAAAAAATGTCAGTAGTTTACAATATTTAGGTAAATCCGTTTTGGAGTTATATCGCCAATTACAAAAATAACTTTTGTTCTACAATATATAGTTTCTTAAATATTTATTAATAAGTAATTAAATAGCAACAAATTAAAAAAAAATTATTATTTTTTTTTAATCTCACTATATTTGTTTTGATGATATTATGAAAAAATTGTGCAAAGTTTAGGATTAAAATGACAACTTTAATATGTTTAGGGCTTTAAAAATGTTGACTATAATTTTAAAATTATGACGAAAACATGCGCGCTCCTATTTAGTTAAACACGTGTCAGTTAACCTAATTTAATAAATACTAAATTAGGTTATAATATAATTGTTAACGCCACGTAATAGTTCGTGTGTTTTTAAAATTAGCGGACTGTATAATATAAATTAAAATCCTCAACAATGTGATTTTATGTAATTAATATAAAAATGATTTATTAATTCACAAATATAAATTCTATACAATTTATAATTAATTGACATTGAGCGGAGCTAGCGGATAAGTTGTTGTGGCCGTTGTCGCACTAGTACTGAAGCACTGATATAATAACAAGTCTTAATATAGGGCCCCCTTTGAACCAATAAGGTTCAAAAGACATAATTAATATGGGATTCACAAAACAATTATTCACAATGAAAAAGGAAACAGTATAAAAATAAAACATTAAAATAAATATTGATGGCATAACTCCAGCTCATAAATAAATAAAGTTCATTTCCATAAAAAAAAAATAATCACAATAAAAAATATAACTTCACAATATCATATACAATGTATATTGTGTATCAATATGCATTGCATATTGATCTGTGCATTGCTACTCGTGTTCTCATTCTCACTCGACTGGTGGAAGAGCGAATTGTGCTCTCCCTGACACTTCATACATTTCCTTGACTTGCATTGATCAACAAAATGATCATTTTTTAAACAATTAAAACATAGTTTTAATTCATTTACTTTTATTTTTCGATCATCTAGACTTAATGATAGAAAGTCTGGACATTTATAAATAGGGTGTGGTTTTTTACACATATAACACTGCATTTTTGTATGAATTGCTAATGCAGTTACTCTTTTTTTATTGGCATTTTTGAAAATTTATTACTTATGTAATCAATACTATTTTTTCCAGAAAAGATTTTTGCTGACTCAATCGACTCCAATACTGTGCATCTTTTATCCAAACACAACATTAATGATTGAACCGTTGTAATTGTATTGTGATCATTTTCTTGTTCCCATTGACGTATAGAGCCCATATCTATTTTTTTACAAATTAAGTGTAGCAGTAAAGCTCCCCATTTTTCTGGATCTTCGCCAAACGCTTTTAATGCTTGCATATGTGCTTTTAACGAATTATTGAACTTATTTAATTTAACAGCCGCGGCTATCCGATTTCCCGTAAACTGGCTCTAAATCATAAATTTCTTTTGTGTGCGCTTGAATTAGAATGCGTTTGTTTTCATATCGGTTGTTTATAATTGACCATACAACGTCGTAATTTGCCTCTGTAGTTTTTAAGTTTTGTATCAATAAACTCGCTTCACCAGTTAATGCACTTCTTAGGTGATAAAATTTGTGTACTTTTGGCATATCGCTATCTGAGTTAATAAGTGAATTAAAATGATCTTTGAATGAACACCATTCTCCAAACTTTCCTCCAAATGTCGGTATTTCGGGAGGTTTTACCTTCATATAATTATAATTATTTATTTGGCTATTGAGAGAATTCCTGCCGTGATTATTTGAACCAACATTAATGGGAATTTCAACTTTTTTAAGTAGATCTGCTTTTGCCACAATTTCAAAATAAGTATCAACAAATATGTCACGATACTCTAAATTCTCTTCACTCGGGTCAAGCGCTTCAATATTATTTTGTATGTTATCAAACTCATTCCACTTTTCTTTTATTTTTTCCAACCGCAATCCTATTTGGGTTTAATTGTTTTGATTTGCTAGGTCATTTATAAATGCTTGGAATTTTGTCAGCTGTGCCTTTATCTGTCCTCGTCTTATAATGCATACTGCTAACTCATTCCTCACCTCACCTGTTGCCATGTTGAACTTTTAGCAATTCTATTTCTATATATGCGCAACGAACGCTCGATTTACTTAACAACCTGCCAATATGTTACAGTATAATTTACTTACCCTCAAAAATAATACTCTTGGTATTATTTTATTTAATCCTTGCAAATTTAGTCACGTAATGATTCACGATCGCACTTAAATCGATCCGGCCTGAAGGACCATATGTTAACCCCACGTAATGGTTCGTGTGTTATTTTATTTCTGTTTTTAAAATTAGCGGACTGTATAATATAAATAAAAATCCTCAATAATGTGATTTTATGTAATTAGTATAAAAATGATTTATTAATTCACAAATATAAATTTTAAACAATTTATAATTGACATTAAACGGAGCTAGCGGATAAGTTGTTGTGGCCGTTGTCGCACTAGTACTGAAGCACTGATATAATAACAAGTCTTAACAATAATAATATTTTATTATAATAAAATTAATGTTTGTGTGTACTACTAACAAGACTTGACCTATTATAAAATCAATCAACTTCTCAAAGTAAATAAAACTATTGAATTTATTATACAATTGTATTGTTAAAAAACTCTCAAACCATTTTTTTGTATTAGATAAAAAATTTATATTACGTTTTTTAAGTTAAAAAAAAACTTCTGTCAATAACAATAACTCAATTAAAAATAATATAAATATTTCATTTTTGAAAATAAATAAAAATACACTTCTTTAAATTAAAATAAATCTGGATACTTATAAGTAAAAATACGGATAAATATTAAAATATGATAAAATTTGCATCAGCAAATGTACTTTAGTATCAAGTTGACTTTACATAATATACTTAAAAATTTACATTCACATGAGGGTCAATTCGAAATTTTACAATTTAAAAATACTTAAAAACTATCAACATTTAATTAATGCTCTAAATATTGTTGTTGGAATACTAATTAATATGGATCGGCCCTAATGATTTAGGTTGTTTTGGCACTTATTATCTGTAAAAAAATAAATAAAATAATAATAAAATATTTACCATTTTAAAATATAGACTAATTGTCTATCGTCTAGGTAAAAAATGTTAATAACATTTGATGTACTGGTCCAAAAGTTGTTATTAACCAATTACATAATTTTCTATTTTACAACATAATTTATTATATACAATGCGATTAAAAAAAAAATAATATTGACATCCTTATAAAGTATAAGGGGTGCTGTATAAAATGATAAATGTTTAAAACATTAATTTATAACTAAAAAATAATTATTATTTTAAATATATTTTGAATTGTAACAATAATAGCCACAAGCAGATGTTGTAAATTACATATTTCAATTTATATAATATTCTATTAAACGTATTGTACAAAACAAAATATAAACGGTATTTTATAAAAATCAACTATGTATTATGTTCAGAAAAAAATGTGTAAAAAAATATTAAAAAACCTGACTATCTTAATTATCAAACAAAATCATTAAATATATTATTTTCACTATTTATGTAGCATTTAGATAAGTATTACAACTTTTATTTTATTGTTTAAAAAATTTCCTTTATTTACCTAACCAGCTTTATTAAATAAAACGTAAACTGCTGAAAGAAATAAATCTATTTTTTAATTTTTTTTTTTTTTTATCACATTGTATTATTACAATTTCGTAAATACATAATTCACTGTAAAATTAATTAATTAATTTTTGATTTACTAATTACTTGAGTTCTTATAATAATGCATTACTATTATTATTATTATGTTAAGCTATAGCTGCGAAGCTATTATCTTACATTAAGATTGAATATCAATATTTTTTGAGAGATTAATTTTATTTTTGGATGGCTTATCTTCAAATCCTCAATGTAACGTTTTTCAAATGATTATTAAAATAATATTTCTTATACTAAAAAGATCAAGAAACTAGCTTTTTGTAATCAAAATTATTAATAACAAAAGTTGTATTAAAACTAGTTTTAGCACTAATTTTGCACATTAATTCTCTAAAAAATAATAATAATAATAATAGTATGTTTGATTTATTGATTATCAAATTAAGACTTCATAAAGTTGAAAAGATTTATTTCTATCAAAAAAATATTTTAAAATGTATTTATTATATTTTATAAAGCTTTCATTAAAATTTAAAACATTTTTTTTTTTTAAATATTTTTATCTCTTTATTGTTTCTTAATTAGGAGGAAGAACAAAAAATAGATGAAGGGATGTTATCGAATTGCGATATGACGACAGCTGATGTGAGAGATCGTGTGAAAATTTAGGATAAGGGTCGGCCGATATCAGGTAGTTGGGATTAAGGTAAGGAAAAAGAAGATGAAGATTTTTGTTTCTTAATTGACGAATTCAGTCTTTATGTAATTTTAAAAGTCCTAATATATACTTTTAAATCGCATATGTATTATATCTCTTAAAATAAAATACTGTATTTTTACACATATAAATTGAGAAATATATCGAAGTAAAAAATATCAAAAATTAATTTCATAATAAAATTATTTTATAAGAGAAAACGAGTATCTAGCATAAAAAGAATTACCTAGCCAGTATATAACACAGCACATATATTCCGTAAAATTAAGTGAATTGCAACAATATTTAAGATTTTTCAACTTAAACATAAAATTAAAATAGAGTTTTGATGTTAGGGGAAATCTAATGATGTTAACAAAATCTTCCTCGTCTCTAGATTCCATAAAATTAAAATTAAAAACCAAGAATAATTAATTAATATAGCATTGGACAGTAAAATAAAATAACATTCTTCGGGTATTGCAATTCACCTCATTTTACGGTATTATTTCAACAGGATAATTTTTCCCAATACCTTCAAATGAAAAAAACCAGCACAGGGGGGTCGTGGCACAGTCGTGACGTAGCATTGTTAGATCAAGTGTAATGATATCAGACAGTAATTAAAATCACTATCAAAAAAAAAAGCTTAGATGCAAATCTTTAAATAGTGTTTAATTTTAAAAAATTGGTGTATTATTCCAAAAGCTACATGATCTCCTAGTTCCTTATTAATATCCTAATTAAGATAAAGTATGTCGAATGAAAAAGAGATTATTAAAAAATCTTATTTCTCATAAAAAAATTGTATTGATTCATAAATTTTCCAAAAAGTTATAGCATTATTAAGTTAAAAATATAAAAAAAAATTATTTTACAAAAATCGTAATTTTTTATTAACTTTGATGTCTATTTTCATCACGAAAACAAGTCCAGAGGTCAATTTTTTTTTTTCATATTAAAGTATATTACATTAGCTTTAATTTAAGATATATATAAAAGTGTCAGACCTTACGGAACACTTTCAAAAGTTAAGTTGAAAAAGTTCTACTTTCTATATGCATTTTTTAGATTTGAAGCCCCCCGTATATAGGGAAATGGTCTGATTTAAAAAATGTATGTCAAATAAAAGATGTTTATAAATACTACTTCTCATGAAAAAATTGTGTTGCTCCATACATTTTTTTAAATGTTATAGCATTTTAAATTAAAAAATGTAAAATATAAAATCGATAATTTTCACACAAAAATAGCATTCGTTAGCCATTTTCACCACGAAGACAAGTCCAGAGGTCAAATTTTTTTTTTCAAATTAAAGTATATTACATTAGCTTTATATTAAGATATATATAAAAATGTCAGACCTTCCGAAACATCTTCAAAAATTAAATTGAAAAAGTTGACATTTTTAATCCCCCCCTGTAGGCATCTAAAGGGTCAGATTTATAAAAAAATATACCAAATGATAGGTAAAGACATCATGCATCTACAAAATAAAATTATATTAATTTGGTTATTTTTTAAAAAGTTATGGCAATTTTAAATAAAAAAAATTTCGAAAATTAGCGATTTCTAAAATTGTAATTTTTTTGGAGATTTCCCCCATTTGTGGGGAACGAGGGAAAATTTTTTAATTTTTAAGGGTAATGTCTTTGTCTAGATACGATTTGTGATTATTTGACACGAAAAAATGGTAACTGACACAAAAAAAAAACACATCATGGTAAAACCAATACCTTCTCAGCTTCGCATTGAAGCTAAAAAAAAACGTAAATAAATTTTTTTCATATAAAGTGTGATGGTGTCACGTTACCATTATTGTAAACATTTTTATAATAAAATACAGACAGCACATTCGCTTCTAGAGACTGTTGAATTGACGATTAATATTTACAGCAAAATTGTCAGTCGTCTGAATTACTTTTTAAACCCAAGTCCATTCCTGTGCTTTGTGTCATTCATCAGTCTCCGTACTCGGTTGTCGCTGTCAGGCTTACTGCATAAAGTCAAGCCTTTGTTTTTCCATTTTTCTCTATCTACTCTCGTCCTCGGCATTTCAGAGTACTTGTGTCTTGTACTTCGTCTGCACCTCATACTCGACTACCCTTGTTCTTTATCCTCTCCTATACCCGAAATATTAGTCTCTTGCACTTCGTCTACACCTCATACCTAGGTGTTACCCTTGTTATCTTCCTATAACAACGGCCTTTCGACACCCACATCTAATCCGGAGTGTCAGCCGAGCACAGTAACTGCTGTATGATACACGTGCGTGTACCAAGATGAGTAGACTCATCATCATCTTCGTACACACTATACACCTCGCTCCCCCTCCCTTTAGTGTTTTGTTGTGTGTTACGCCAAAAGGATGAATATAATTCATTTTCCTCATGTTAAGACGATACCCTAGTATTAAAATATCAATTTGTTACAGTTCTACGATTTTTTAACAAATTTTTAACCTTAAAACTTTTTTCATACCTACTTTGAATTACTTTTGGTTTTGAAATAAATATCTGGTTAATTAAAAGTTTGAACGGTCTTTCTACTAAAATATAGAGAAACAAACTTGCTGCATAACTCATTACTACATCCGATACAGAATTAGTAATCTGAAATAAATTTACATTCATTCTTAATACATTAGTAATAATGTATTAATAAATTATTGATAAGATAATTTTGTTACTTAAAAGAGTATGAAAAAAATAGACAAAACACTTTAATTTTCATACAAAAATATCATTAGGAATTGTGTGTTACTTTCATGTTTATTATTTTATGATAAGGACTTCTGTGTACATAAAATCTAGGATATTATATGTAGAATCACAAAGCAAGTGTATAGATGTAATGTTTGAATGACAAGTGTACGAACGAACTCGAAAGTCATATAATTTAAAAATAAAATCTCAGTTTAAATCTCATTCTTCCGTTACATTTAAGGCTATGTCATATAAGCCTAATTTAGGGTTTAAAACTAACCTAAAGTTTAGTTATACGTTAAAAAAATTATTTGGATAATTGATAATGAGCTATACAGAGTGATCGATTAATCATAAACCACTGGATTACTCTAAAAACAAATACAATATTGAAAAAATAATTTTTGATTATTTTTAATTACATAAAATTCTTGATTCATCAGATAATATTTAATATTTAGAATCATCCCTTATAACTTAAAGGGGTGTCAATTTTATTTTTTTTTAACATACATATCTCACTTATTAAGTCTATAAAATAGGAAATAATCTAATTAAGAAAATGACTGGTCGGTAAAATTTTGTGAAACAGTATTTCAAAAGTTATTAACAATTTCAATTAATGACTGGAGGTGTTGAATGGGTACTGCTACTTTTAACACGAGTCATTTTTTGCCCAAGAATAACATTCAAAATATAATGTTTCCATTAACAAAAATAGTTGACACCTCTCTAAGTATAAGGGATGATTCTAAAAACTAAATATTAGCTGATAAATCAAGAATTATATGTAACCAAAAAGAATCAAAAATTATTTTTCTAATGTTCTATTTATTGTGTGAGTAATCAAGTGGTTTATAGTAAACCAATCACTTTGTATAGCTCATTATCAATTCAAAAAATTTTTTTAACATGTAGCTAAATTTAAACTTACTTTTATGCCCTAAATTAGGCCTATATGATATAGTCTTAAATGTAATGAAAGAATGAGATTTAAATATAAATCCGTGTTTATTATTTGTTGTTGACGTAACACCACAAATTAATCGTGACGCTAATTTTGACAGCGACTTAGTCGCTGCAAATATTTTAAAACTTTTTCTCATTTAAAATTTAACTATTTTTTAATCGCATATTAGAACAGCACGTGCTATTTAATAGGCTAAAAGTTAGTATTTAACTAGATAGAATCTCACTATAAGATATGACTAACTTCTAAGCAACACATACTAGTAACAAGCACTTTTTGTTACTACGAAACACTAAAACTTACAAATGTTTTGATAGTAAAATGATCAGGTGTTCTTCTACTGGCAATATCAGAAACAGGAAATATTGAATTCACCATATAAGCGTTGAAATTTAAAAGTGCTACAACTTTGAATACTTTCCATGAAAAAAAATTTTTTAGGAAATCTGTAATAATAGTTCAATTGTTTTAGGTGGTGGTAAAGAAAATTAAAATTAATTACCTTTTTAAACCTTTTAAATTTTATTGATGATTATTCAAATGTTAATTTAATTTTCAAAATATAAAAATAATTTATCACGTACTCGATGATCCTAATATTAATGTGTAAATTAAAGTAGCCGTTCCCGTTGCCCAAAGACTTCGTATTGTAGATCCATAAAGTGCAGCTAGAAATGGTTCATAAACGTAAGAAGGGTGATAAATTATAGCACCACTAAACCAACAAAACATCATTATGAATACAGAAATGGCTTGTAAAACATTACTTTTCATCTGAAATTTAATTGAATTAGTATGAAATTATAATACAGTGTTTTTTTTTAGAACTTAAAAAGTATATATTTCTTACTATACTAAGCTTAGGGGAATTTTTTTTTCTTTTATATAGCAAATAACCAAATATAGCTCCTACGATGTATGGACCCACTCTTGTATGCGATTTTACATAAACTGACATGAAGTATATATTGCTAGTAACATTTTTCACAAAACTAAATGTAAACAAAAATAATTTGTATTTGATGTTCATAGATATAAAATGATTATGTATAATAGACGATATCAGTACTGACAATTATTGTCAATTATTGGTGCAGTACTGGCATATTTAACAAACAATAAAGCTTTTTCGTACTAGTTATGATTACGATATGAGTTGTAATTTTTTTTTTGATGGAACCTAAATTTTAAATTGTTTCTCTTTCATTGCATTATATACAGAGTGAAACAGAGTGAAACAGATCTAACTGACAGCTCATATAACTTATGATCTACATAACATTTTATATATTTTTTTTTAATCAATTTTTAAAATATAGAACTATATTTAAAATATGATAATATTATAATTTTAATCGTAAACGTATTTGTTAAAAGGACCTATTTTCACTGCTTATACTTTTTAAGATAAGTAAATTCAATTTATGCTACAAAAAAAAATAATCAATTTATTGAAGAATTACATATTTTGTTTGTAAAAAAAAAATACATAAAATTTTGTAAATTCTAAGTAATTTATTGTTAGTAATCGTAGCTCTTGAGTTCATACATTTTTATGTAAATTTTGCTTCTTAGGAAAACATTTAAGTGAGCTACAGATCCATTTCAGAACAATATTAATAAAAATACGAAGTTTGTTAATGCAAATTTTGGGTGTTGGGGCATATTTGGCATATAATTGGTTTTTTGGAGGCAGAATGCATATTATTTCCTGTGAATTCAGGGAAATTTTATTTCAATGAAAGTAAAAAAAAAATAAATAAATTCTTAAATCATTTTTTTCGAATATGTTTACATGTTACTATGCTCTTAGTATTTTTGGAGATATTTTTATCTGTTTATGATATTGATTGGGTTTTATAAGTTTTAAGCAGTTCACTGGAATTAATATTATCGCACAATCACTACCACCATCCGCTGAATCAAATATGTGTATGTCTATCAATAAATTTATTTTCGTCACAACAATACATAAAGGTACATATTAAAAGGAAATTCTTATGATAAGTCCGTAAACTATAATCGTATTTCTAGCGTTGTTACATTGTTTTTTGTAGATTATTTTGTGGTAAATCGTGTCTATTTATTTTTTGTTTTCAGTTAGTATTTTGAGATTCAATTATAAATACTAGTATTTAGACTGTTCACATTAATCAATGCTAAAAGAAAACCTAACAAGTCGAGCTCGTTTGCAAAAGTTTGCTTCGGAATTAGGCAAAGAAATATATTCAACCGACAATAAAGTGCTAATTTGTAAAACTAGTGAAATAAAAGTATTAAAACTTAATTATTTACATTTTAAAAATCTTATTTTTATGACTGAAAATCAGAAAAAGATTTCATTTTTGAAGATTACTAAAATTTTTCAAATTGTGTTAATTTATACTTTTGATTTTTACTTGTTTAAAATTTTTTACTAAAAAGTTATAGTTTATAATTAAAAATTATGCATTTAAATATTTCGTGCTCTTTCAAAATGTGCTTATTTAAGATTTTTAGTATAGTCATCGGGTGGGGTATAGGGGGTTAAGTCCCTTCTTAAATTTACAAATTAGCAAAATTATTTGCATTATTATATCAAAATTAATTGCCACCTTTTTAAGATATAAGAGATGAACAAAAACAATACTTCTTGTTGATAAGTTGAGAAAAAGATGTAACTAATGAAATCAAAAATTAAATTCTGAATTATTTTTATTTTTCAATAGATAAGTGATTTTTAATTACAGAACTGCACCATAAATAAATTAATGTCGAATTTTAATGCATTAAAAGTTAAAATTTATTGCAAAAGTTAAGTTAACTTAATTAAATAACTCAATATTTATTAATGTATTGTAAATAGTCGTTTCTTGATGCGTAGATATAATGACACTATTTTATTGCAGTAGGCTAATTACGTTTTCCCACCATCTTTAAAACAAGCATAACTTTTAAAATGGACATCAAAAAAAAATTAACAATAATAATAATAAAATTACTTTGCAATAAAAAAATAATTATTGAAACCAAAAGTTTATAAAGTTAATCTTAAAAAAAATGTTTCGTCGACACTTACTCTACATTGAACTCAAGATTTGCAGGTATGTGGTTCATATAAGTAATGTTGAAAAGTATAGCTGTTGATATAACAATAAGTGAAACCAAAATATTGAATCCAAATTTCGGACTTCTATGAATGATATACGTCAATATAATTCCCATTATTGTAAAATGAAATTCACAAGGCATGAACCAAGTATGAATTTCACACTTAAAAACGAATTAAAAAGTTACTAACGAATTTTAATATAAAAATAAATTATTTTTAGTTAATTATATGTTTTACTAATGTATCTGGTTTAATGTAGTTGTTTAAATATAACAAATACAGCCACCACACATTCCTACAATTATCTTTATCTGTACCAATAAAATTTTCCCATAAAGGTCCACTGCCCAATTTGTATTGAAAAGTTGCAAAAAAAAATATCACCATAGCGTACACTGGCGTAAATCTAAGACAATTTAAAATTTTCAGTTATAATACAATCTAGATAGTTATATTATTACCTGAAATATTTAAATATTATTATTTTTAAAGGATGTACAAATGAAGTCTCTAGGCGATCAAGAAGAATCAAAACCAACAATGCTCCACTAATGACAAAAAAAATATCTACCAATAAATCCATGTGTGATGTAAAAATTGATATATAATAATTATAATACACCTTTACCAAAAAAAATTATTTAAAGGTTAATAAATTTAATTAAAATCACGTGTAATTAGAATCGTCTTAAGACTAATTAAACAAACCTGCTCGTTGACTTCGTAATTTTGTAAAGGTCCCATTAAACGGTACATCCATCTATGGCCAACAATAATTAATACTGCAGATATGGTCGTAATACCACTTAAAGGTGAAAAATCTATGTCTCTTAATATGTAATTTCTTTGCGTTAAACTTTGTATAGCACGTCGCGCGGAAAAACACATTAACACATCAACTTTACGGTTTTCTAAAATATTACGTAAGATAATAAAATATTATATTATTTATATTATATAAACATTATCGTACTTCTATCTAAATTCGTATTTAAAAAATGTGTCTATGGGAGTTTTGGGGATTAACTTTGAAAAATCAAATGAAGACAAATGTTTTTTTTTAAATGCTACATAAATAGTTATTTTTTCATAAAATTTATAAAAAAATAATAATATGATTATTATAATAGTATCAATAATACTTAATACTATCGTTCAAAAAATATCTTTAATGAGCTACCGCTCTTTAAATGAAAGAAAATCAAATATTAAATAAATGTCGTAGTGTTATTTCAGAATATAAGATAAATTTTATTATGGGAGTGTGTAACATTTATAAACTTTTATTGTTTGGTTTCGCCTAATATTGTAATAAACTATAATATTTGATAAAAATTAAAGTACAACAATTTTAGTATAGTAACATAAATAGTCTCCATACTTTATTATATCCGTTTGACAGTTATAGGATATAATAAATAACCGACAACGCCTAATCGTATTTCTATTTAACTTGGTACAAAATAAGAATTAACTTTCGTCAAAAATAAAAAGGATTTAACATAATTTAATTTATTTAATTATGATAAAAACATTTTATTTGAAACTATATTTATATTTTCAAAAAGTTTTGAGAAAAAAATGAAACATGAAATTTTAATCACTCTATATAGACAAATTTGGTTTTAGATTTATAGAATAAAAGTAATTTTGATTGATATTTTTCATTAAGTCTCAATTCTTAAATTATTTAAATTCAGGTTTTGACGATATTAATTAAAAATTCTAAGTGATTTAAAGTAAGAAAGGTAAGAAATAATTACCTTTATTCCATTGCCATATTTCTTGTTTTGAATATGCAGTAAAATCAAAAAGAGTTGCAAACGTAACTAGTAATAGCAGTACTAAAATGACAAACCTATAAAATTTAATTAATTGCGATTCAATGTAATATTTATTATTTATTACTATCAGCCATTATAAGCTTAGTTTAATGTATAAACTATTTGAATTCAGTCTTATTCTAATGACTTCATATTTTTAATAACCAAATAAAACAAGTTAAAATAAAATAAATCTTTAATAAAGCTGGACTAAGAAATATGTATCTCAAGACGAAATTGCTTAACTTTTACATTTTTTTCTTTAATTTATAGAATATAGGAACTAATATTTGATAAAAACCCATTAATCATTAAAACGTTATTTATCAATTAAAAATGAAAAATATTTTGTATGGATGCAATACAGAAATAAGAAAATTAAAAATTAATACCTTTAGTGTGATGAGATATTGTTTATAATTTCATCTCAATAATTTAAATTATAAAACCTTTAGTAAAATTTAAATAAATAACAAACTCGTACAAATAAGTCCAGTCGTAAGCGTCGTACTTATCTCCTGCACGTTCTGTCTGTGTACACATCTTATCGTTTACTGATATATTTTCAATAGAAGTTATGTTATTTTCTTTTATGTATGATTGGAGATAAGTTTGAATTTCAAATGAAGAACATGATTGTGGAACGCATAGCGCCCATTTAATGATATCTAAACGTTGCTTGAACCTTGCTCCGCCATACTAAAACATTAAATTATTTAACCATTTTTTCATGTATTATCAAAAATGTAACTGAACATTTTTAATGAAAACAATATAACCAATTTGTCAAACAAGTCTTAAATATCAAAATATCAACATTTTTATAATTTGAATAATTAATTAATGATGGCGTGGCCGATTAAACAAAGTATTAATAGCTTATACGCTGTTTCGGGTTCGAGAATTAGTCACAGACTACTTTGCTTATTAAATGAGAGATTATCTCAGTTTTTAGAACCAACATCACTCTCTTCAGTAACAAACTAACCATATCAGAGTATTTAAGCTTTTAAAATTTAGGCTTAAATATAAATATTTAAGAAACCTATTCTTTGTAGGTGGGTAAAAGAATGTAAATTTTTTTTAATTATTATTATATTTCACGTATGTAATTTGAAACAAAAAATACTGCTTACATAAATTTTATGCCATGATGGAAGCATTGGATTATAATCTCTAGTATTAGGATCCGTTAGGGAATATTCTCGTGGAACGTTTATTTTGATATCTATCAGACAATATTGAGCTTGAATTGGCTTGGTTACTTGTAAACATTCGTCAAAGTCTCCTAACTGATATATGTTTCCAGTCAATAAGCCGACTGCTTGTTTTGCTGATGCATCCCACACTATGATAAAATATATTTTATTATTGTCATTAAAATATTACGTAGATTTTTTGTAAGATCCAGTTGACCTTTTAAGAATAAAAATTTACTGTATGAATTAAACGAAGGGCCTAAATTATCTAAATTTAATTTATTTAAAACAACTTTGAGGCAAATAGCGGAAAATTTGATAAAGTCATATTTTGAGGCAACTCCATGGGCTTTACAAAGCCTATTTTTTACTTATTATTTAAAAGATTAGATATATTAATTTAAATTAAAAAGTTATCTAGGGCGTATTCAAATTGAAAGGATCCTTTTTATAGTTTCATTTTGTATGTACAACTTATATGTCAAATACTATCGTTGACAAAGTAAGTTAAAACATATATGGAAGAATCTGTCGCATTATTTAGTAATGGTTTATTTAAATTACTTAAATTTAAGTAATATTTGAATTAAATAAATAATTTATATAGGTATTAATTTAAGGAATTAAAATTTTTTTTTTTTCATATGATCTATATTTTACGATAAAATATTATAAAAATATATCTTATTTTAAAATTTTCTAAAAAGTCCTAATTTTTATGTTAAAAAAAATAAATTTCATCAAACAATTTGAAAAAATGTTAATATTTATATAAAACCTGATAAACAAAATGGCATAATTTTTTTGAACATATATGCAATTAATCATAATACTAAGTCAATCATTAATTTGAAACGTTTCGCTCTGGCCTTCCTTCCTAATACGTATATTTATCATGAACGAAAAATATAATGAGAGTATTGGCGTAGCTTGAGAAATNTATTTATCATGAACGAAAAATATAATGAGAGTATTGGCGTAGCTTTACTATAGTTCTTATCTTTATTTCATAATTTTGGATAGTAGATCTGATTGGAAGTCTTTTTGTCACATAACTTTACCTTCACCTTTTAATAAATTTTAATTTAATTATGAGGACTACAAATGTTTGTATGATAGTTGAAGCCCTAATACCCCCATGCAACTTACGCTAATGTAAAGAATAGTCAGTTGATCTGATAGATTATGTATAACACCTATCAGCAATTTTTTTATTTTTCTATAATCAACTTATGTTAGAAAAGTTTTATTGATTCTGTTATAATATTTTTTAATAAATAGTCTTGAAATAAACTAATTAGGAATCAATAAGTATAGTTGTTCATTCTTTTTCTCACATTTTTAATATTTATTTTAAACAAATCACTTACTTTGTTGAGCCCATAGTGTAGAGGTTTTTAGATTTTCTAGCAGTCTTATACTGTCTTTTTGACATTTTGGATTACTTGAATTTAAAATAGTGTTCGGCAAAGATGGTATTATGTTTGGTGATAATGTCAACAATGCATTAGTACTTAGTACAAACAATAATAAGGACAAGAAATAAAACACCATCTTATTTAACCATAAAAACCTGTAAAATTATATAATACGTAAATATTAATCTTGATCATAAAATCATGACAATACTGAATAAGTTAATGATTTTTTAAAACTCATTTAAATTAATTTAAATCCAAAAAAATATGTCAAATAAAAGAAGTATATAAGTATTATATATCATAAAAAATTGTATTGATCCTTACATTTTTCAAAATTTTGAAAAAAATCGGTTCGGCGAGAGTTGAGAAAAAGTGGTAATAAAAAAAAAAATAAAATAAATAAAAGAGCGTAGCCTAGTTGGGACAACTATAGATGAATTAAAGTTTGCAAAATTAACTCCTATTTCTTTCATTCTTCGTAATTAGTAGTTCTATGATTTATAAGTATAATATATTATTAAATATCTATTAAAGCAATTAAATATAGTATGAAATTAATATTTAATAATTTAATAATTGGTAATTTTTACGGAGTAATTATAAAAAATTATAAAGCAGTTATTACTTTTATGGTAAATTTATATAAAAATCGAAGGGCTTGATACAAAAGTTTTTGGGAAATAATTTGTTTTTAATTATGAATTAAATGTTTCAAAAGGAGTTTTCATCAAATTCAAAAATTTGCTTTTCTTGAGTAATTTTTCAAGCTGATTTCAAATCTCCAATTTAATTTTTTTTTATCTAATCTAATTTAATCCACTAATTTTTGATATTATGACTAATTAATTCAAAACGAGTATTAACATATAGTAAACAAATTATTTTTTATAATTTTTTTCTAACTTAATAAGGATTAAAGAAAAATTGCAAGAAAGACACTAGTGTTACTGATTCGGCAAGCGTTCATCGAATTTTTTGATCAATAAAATTGGCTATTTAAGCTAGTTCAAATTTTAAAGTTACCTTTTTTGACTTAAAAGAAGAAAAAAATTTTAATAAGTTTAACTTTATATTCTATGGTAATTAGATTTATATAATATAAATGAAAATCAATTTACTGCCCTTATAAGGTATTTAAAAATAAATTAAATTCAATACCAAGAATTTAATTCAAAAATAGCATGTTTTTTAATATGGTAACTATTTTCACCTTGAAGACAATCTATATCTAAAAATTTTTTTTTTCGTAGTAAAGCTTATTACATAAGCTTTAATTTAAGATATTAATAAAAGTGTTAATATTTCCGGAACACTTTCAAAAATTAAGCTAAAAAAGTTTAACTTGTATGCATAAATTGCTTTTTAGAATCTCCCCTGTGGACGGTCAAGAATCAGATTTTTAAAAAAATGTATATCAAATTAAAGGGAAGTATCTAAGTTTTCAATAAAAAAAATTATTTTGATTTATTAATTTTTCAAAAAGTTGTGGCAGTTTTTAATATCAAAATATTAACATGTTAAACGGAGATTTTTACATAAAAATTACATTTTACGTTAAATTCCATGGCCATTTGCCCGTAGAAGACCTATTCTTATATGGACAAATGGCCATATTTCATATTTCGATATGATTAATTGATTTAACATGAGAGTTGCATAAAAGTGCTTACTAAGACTTCTATTTAAATGATTTCTTACAATAAAAATACAATATAACGTTTTTATCGACATTTTGAGTTTTCCTTATAAATTTACTGTTAATTGTAATTATTTAACTTTCTGTTCATATATGAATCTAAAAAATAGAATATTTTATTCTACATAAAATTTAATGATATAAATTCTAAACTTGAAAGTTGAGCTAAAAAAAAAAGTATGTTGGAGTGCATGTTATAGATTTCTAAAAAAAAAAATCATGTTGATCCATACATTTTACAAAAATATATATCAATTTAAATTTGAAAGTATAAAATCGAAAATTTGAACACAAAAATAGCATGTTTTTAAATACGGCAGTAATTTGCATGTAGAAGATAAATCGTCGGGACAAATTTTTTTTTTGGAACTTAAAGTAATTATTATAAGCTTTAATTTGACATATATTTAAAGCTCAGAGTATTTCCGGAACATTTTTATAAGTTATGTTGAAAAATTTCTACTCTTTACTCACATTTTAGTCAAGTTTTTGACCGTCCTGTATAAGGAAAATGGTCTGATTAAAAAAAAAAATTGCGAATAGAAAAAAATAAACTTATGAAAAAAAATTGTATTGATCCATACATTTTTCAAAAAGTCATAGCAATTTAAGTTAAAAAAATAAAATATGAGATGGACAATTTTAACACCATAATTGCATGTTCTTTAACTTCGGCAACCATTTGCTCATAGAAGATAAGTCGTCGGGAGAATTTTTTTTTTTAATTTATAGTACATAAAATAAGCTTTATTTAAAATATTTTTGAAGCTCGGAGTATTTCTAGAACACTTTTAAAACTTTAGTTGAAAAAGTTAAATTTTTGTGAATAACTTGCCATTTTAAAATCCTACCTGTGGGCAGGTAAAGGGTCAAATGTTATAAAAAATATATCAAATGACAAGAAAATACCTAATGTATCAATATAAAAAAGTTATGACTGTTTTAAGAAAAAAAAAATTTTTTTAAATGTTAAAATTACAGATTTTTAAAATTGTAATTTTTGGGAGGGATTTCCCTCATTTATGGATAACGAAAGAATTATTTTCAATTTTTGAGGGTAATCTCTTCGACTAGATACAATTTGTGATCTTTTGAAAGCTAAGATTGAGGAGTAATAGTCACCAAAAAAAAAAAACACATCATAGTAAAATTAATACTTTCTCAGATTCGCATCAAAGCTAACATAATTATTAAAGTTGCCTGTTAATTTTTTTAATAAATTAAGTAGACCATACGTCATTAACAATTAACAAATGAAAAATTACGTTAATGTAAAAACTAAAAATATATCCGTTTGAGAATTTTAACTTAATAATTCCTTTAATTAATTAAATAGTTAATAAGTCGTTTATACCCAGTATAACATTTTAGTATTTTAAATTTTAGAAATTTGTTTAAAAGAGAGTATTTTACGCCTTGCATTTTTAAGTTCAAAAATAATGTTAAAGAACTGCACAGGCCGTGTTTATTTAAAAAAAGCCAGTACAGTAGTGACGTAGCATAGTTGGATCAATTATAATGATACCTGACAGTGATTAAAATCACTATAAAAAAAAAACTATTCGATGCAAATCTTTAGATAGTGTTTTATTTTAAAAAATTGGTGTATTATTCCAAAAGTTACATGATCAGCTAGTTCCTTATTAATATCCTGATTAAGATAAAGTATTTTGAATGAAAATGGGATTATTAAAAAATATTATTTCTCATAAAACAATTGTGTTTATCCATATACTATTCAATAAGTTATAGCATTATAGAGTTAAAAATTTTAAAAATAAAATCGAGTATTTTCACACAAAAATAGCATTTGATAGCCATTTTCATCGTTAAAACAAAATAAAATTCGAAATCTTTTTACATAATAAAGTACATTACATTAGCTTTAATTTAAGATATATATAAAAGTGTCAGACTTTCCGGAACACTTTCAAAATTTAAGTTGAAAAAGTTAATGTTTTGTAAAAAAGTTGTCATTTTAAATCCCCCCTGTGGGCAGTTAAAGGGTCAGATATAAAAATATACCAAATGAAAGGTAATGATATCATGTATCTATATAAAAACAAATGATATTTATATGTTCATTTTTAAAAAAGTTATGGCAGTTTTTAGTAAAAAAAATTGAATAAATGTCGAAAATTAGCGATTTTTAAAATTGTAATTTTTTTGGAGGATTCCCCCATTTACGGGGAACGAGGGAAATTTTTTCAATTTTGAAGGGTAATGTCTTCGACTAGATACGATTTGTGATCTTTTGACGTATCATTGAAAGAAATCGGTTCGGTGAGAGCTGAGAAAAAGTGGTAACAGACAAAAAAAAAAAAAAAACACATTATAGTAAATCCAATACCTTCTCAGCTTCGCATCGAAGCTAAAAAAAAAACTCATCACAGTAAAACCAATGCCTTCTCAGCTTCGCATCGAAGCTAAAAATTATTTTTTTTATTGTTATTAACAAAAAAGTGAAGTAGCGATCGAAAATATTAGAAAATAAAAATGTTTGTCTATGAATAGAGGCTATATATGAACTTCTAACTTAACTCCTAAAGTAGATACAAAAAATCTAATTTTGACAATTAGTTCCGTATACATTTTATTGATATATTTAATTCAATTATTATTATATTTTTAATAATCACTTAATTTTCCTTTAATCCTACTGAATTATTATATTTAAAATACTTCACCTTATAGATTTTTGATTGATACTTCTATGAATATTTTAAAGTACATATAAACCGTGATTCTTTGTGTCGTATAAAAATGATAGCGACTGATCACTTAAAACTCGAACGAATGAGAACAGAGTAATGAAAGAACGAATCTAGGAACCACACAGAATGAATTATTTTTTATGATAAATTGATAAACGTTGACGCCAACAACCTACCCAACCGGTTATGGTTGAGTGCACTTGATTTTATTATTAATAGATAATAAGTGATGCATCTATATTATAACATTCACCTTAATCTTTTTAAATGTTGTCATCACAATATTAAGTAATAATATTGAATATATAAGTAAAGTTCAAAATTAAAGTTAATAACTACAAAACACATTTGAAAATAGATATTATTTTAGCAAAAATATAATTATTTATGTATTTTATGTATTTTTTTGATATTTTATGTTTTAAATTGCATTGTAGTACATAAAATTAAAACCCAGCACAGGGGGGTCGCGGCAAAGTGGTGACGTAGCATAGTTGGATCAAGAATAATGATATCTGAAAAATTGGTGGATTATTGCAAAAGCTTCATAAACTGCTAGTTCCTTATTAATATCCTGATTAAGATAAAGTATGTCGAATGAAAAAGGGATTATTAAAAATTATTATTTCTCATAAAAAAATTATATTGATCAATACACTTTTCAATAAGTTATAGCATTATAAAGTTAAAAATGTAAAAAATAAAATCGAAAATTTACACACAAAATTAGCATTCGGTAGCCAATTTCACCCTGAAAACAAAATAAAGTCTGAAATTTTTTTTTTCCATAATAAAGTATATTACATTAGCTTTAATTTAATATATATATAAAAGTGTCAGACTTTCCGGAACACTTTCAAAATTTAAGTTGAAAAAGTAAAATTTTTCTGAAAAAGTTGTCATTTTGAATCCCCCCCTTTAGACAGGTAAAAAGTCAGATTTATAAAAAAATTATACCAAATAGTTAAAAACATCATGCATCCATAAAAAAAAGAATTATATTGATCCATACATCTTTCAAAAAGTTATAGCATTATAAAGTTAAAAATGTAAAATACAAAATCGACAATTTTCACACAAAAATAGCATTTGATAGCCATTTTCACTGTGAAGATAAAATAAAGTCTGAATTTTTTTTTTCATAATAAAATACATTACATTAGCTTTAATTTAAGATATATATAAAAGTATCAGACCTTCCGGAACATTTTCAAAAGTTAATTTTTTGTAAAAAAGTTGTCATTTTAAATCCCCCCTGTGGGCAGTTAAAGGGTCAGATATAAAAATATACCAAATTAAAGGTAATGATATCATGCATCTATATAAAAACAAATGATATTTATATGTTCATTTTTAAAAAAGTTATGGCAGTTTTTAATAAAAAAAATTGAAAAAATGTCGAAAATTAGCGATTTTTAAATTTGCCACACTTTATTTGACTATGGGAATTTTTTTTAATTTTTAAGGGTAATGTCTTCGACTAGATACGATTTGTGATCTTTTGACGTATCGTAAAAAAAAAAAAAAAAACACATCTTAGTAAAATAATATCTTCTCAGCTTCGCATCGAAGCTAAAAATTGCCAAAATAAAAAGTGACAGACTAAAAAATGTTTTAAATCAAACATCAAAGAAAACTAATTTTTTAACAAATCAGTTTCTTCTACTTTTTATACAAGATTTAGTAACAATAAAACTACAGGTATTATTGTTGTTCGTATGCTCAGGTTAGTGATAATAAAATAAAAAATACTTTGCCTCTTGAACTTAAACTTATTGAACCAGAAGATAGTTGCGGGTTATCCAATTCAACTGATATAATTTTGAATATGTTAATTTTGGAGGCTAATTCAGCAAAATGGGTTATTAACGACGATTTTCGCGATTATTTCGCGAAAAACGGTATTTATTAAAATACAACAAACAGTTTCATTAAATCCAAAATATTTTTCCAAATATTGATATAGCAATAAGAATTTTCGTATGAGTACAAGTGTATAATTACTATAGAGAGATCGTTTTCGTGTCTCAAACGCGTCAATAACTATCTTAGATCCACTCAGACTGATACAAAATTAAATAATATCGTGTTTCTCAGCACAAAAATTTAATGTTAAATGACCTGAATTGCGAAGATTTAATTGACTCATTTGCGAAAACTGAATGTTTTAAATGGCATTTATATTATTACGTCAATTTTATAATTATTAATTATATATTATGTATTACATATGTGATATTCTACCATTTATGTGTGCTTTTTGTTCTTAACTATGTGTTTCTTGTTTTAGTAATGTAATACATTAAAAATAATGAATATTTAATGATTTATTAATGTACAAAAATATGCTTGAAAAACATTTTTAAATACTTCCTTTTTGAGGGGAATTAGTAATGTTATGGCGAATATAGGAAAAATTTACACACCCCCTCCTTAACGTAATAAAGTATGGCAAATTTTGAAATGGCTAAAGGCACAAAATATGTGAGTACGCCTCTGGCTATGAACATATATATTTTGATTCTGTCTATAATTTATACTTATTTTTAAGTTACAAATGTTTGCCTGTCTTGTAGGAACCTGTTATATTTCCATAGTTTTTGTAAGTTTTAATCATCAAATTAACTTGACCTGGTGAATTAATTACCTTGGAAGTTAATTGTAAACGTGTATTTCTTAAATATTTTTGGATTTATAATTGATGTTTATAATTTTTTATTTAATAAGTTTGTAAATTTAATTTAATAAGTTTTAAAAATAGCTTTAATAATATTATTACTTCACCTTAATTAACAGTCAATTTCTAATAACATGTTTCAACATAAAATAATATTGAGCTTCGTAAATTTTATCTCGGAACATGAAACGGTATTACATTCAATAATTCTGGTAGATCTATCTTAATATTATTATTATTATTATTAACATTTTTATTTTCTAATATTTTCGATCGCTACTTCACTTTTTTGTTAATAGCAATAAAAAAAATAATTTTTAGCTTCGATGCGAAGCTGAGAAGGCATTGGTTTTACTGTGATGAGTTTTTTTTTAGCTTCGATGCGAAGCTGAGAAGGTATTGGATTTACTATGATGTGTTTTTTTTTTTTTTTTTGTCACTTTTTCTCAGCCCTCACCGAACCGTTTTCTTTCAATGATACGTCAAAAGATCACAAATCGTATCTAGTCGAAGACATTACCCTCAAAAATTGAAAAAAAGTCCCTCGTTCCCCGTAAATGGGGGAAACCACAAAAAAAATTACAAATTTAAAAATCTCTAATTTTCGACATTTTTTCAATTTTTTTTACTAAAAACTGCCATCATTTTTTTAAAAATGAACATATAAATATCATTTTTTTTTATATAGATGCATGATATCATTACCTTTCATTTGGTATATTTTTATAAATCTAATCCTTTACTTGCCCACAGAATGGGATTTAAAATGACAACTTTTTCACAAAAAATTAACTTTTTGAATTTAACTTTTGAAAATGTTCCGAAAGGTCTGAAACTTTTATATATATCTTATATTAAAGCTAATATAATGTACTTCATTATGAAAAAAAAAAAATTTTGACCTCTGGACTTGTTTTCGTGGTGAAAATGGCTACCAAACATTACATTTTTAACTTTATTATGCTATAATTTTTTGAAAAATATATGGATCAATACAATTTTTTTATGAGAAATAATATTTTTTATTAATCTCTTTTTCATTCGACATACTTTATCTTAATCGGGATATTAATAAGGAACTAGCAGATCATTTTTTGTATTAATATCGAAATAAATAACTTTAATAGAAATTATAGTTATCATTTCTATGTAACTCTATAAGGTGTCAAAAGTTTCTACAATTGTAATATTCAGAATTGTTTAATGAGGATTATATTGTGGTGTTGTGAACTGGCTTTTGCTGCCTAATTGTAATTGTATAATTTAATAGTATATATATTAATCATGGGAACGGAAGCCTCTTTTGTCTTGTATATTAAGTATTTACCAGGCAAGCATCTAGTCCTTCTAGAACATTCGATGCTTGCTCAGTCCTTTTCAATGTATTGGGCCTACGACCGCCGCCGCCTGAGGCGACGCGCCAGTAGTAGTCAGCTACTCGTTCAAGAGTCATATAGTTCATAGGGTCGAACCTGGACGACTCTCCACTGAATCACTTTCACTGAATCTTTTATATTAATTAAGTATCAACTCATTAAAGTCGTAAAGTCAATTATAAGTGTAAATATATTATTAAATAAAATAAATAGTAACTAATTATCAAACGCATTATCTTTTCATTTTGTCTATCGTATCAACCCTGTCACAACAGTGGATTGACGATAAATAAATTACAACACGATTAGTTAAAATAGAATTGTTTATAAATTATAAATATTTATACCAAGAAAGTAGTTCAAAGGCCGGTAGTAATTTTACACAATGTCTTTTTGTAGGCGATATTGTTTTATTTGCTCACAAGCGCTAAATATTAAGTCGTCATATTTTTTAAAAATAGTACTAGTTATAATTATTTCATTACAGATAATTATTATTCTCAGCTTATGTAATACAAGATCTATTAATTTACATTGGTATTTCCCTAAAATATTATAATTATCATTTTTTATGTATGTATGTCCTATATAGCAGGAAATATTTGATAGTCTATTGGAGCTGTGTCAATTATTTAATTTAATATTCAATACTCCGTCCAAATGTAATGTACTTTACTTTACCAATGTAAATTAGAACTGTCATATTTGTATAACATATTACGAAGCTAATTAGTTATAAAAATGTTTAATAATTTAACTAAATAGTTAAATAAAATATTAAATAAAACAGGAATATTATTCAACAAATTAAAGAACCGCATTCATTATAACAATTTTAAAATCATAATAATTTAATAATATTTTTATTTCCGTAAATGTGTAATATAATTATACAATTATATATAATTATACAAAAATAATCGTGTACAGGCACGTAGCCAGAAAATGTTTATTGGAGGGGCCAACAATTTTATCATTTGTATCATTTTCCATAATTTTTTTACCAAGAAAAGCTTGTGGGGGGCTCCCTCCACTCCTCCTTAGATAGTATCCCTACTATGAATCTTACAAGTTCAAAATTTTA